TGTAATTCCCTTATATGTGTGCCATAATGCTTTGGCGACGTTGTGGTCATCTACACATTTAAGTTTCCTTGGTTTACCTGTTATCGAGCAGCAGGCTATCTCCACAGCCTGCTGCAGTGCCGGAATGTTTGAGCCAGCGATCAGTGACGATGTGATCGAAAATCTGGACCCTTCTGGTGTAGTCATTTCTCTGTGGTTCGTTAATCACTGCGCCCTGTTAGGATGACGTTGAGTGAGGGTAAGGCAAATAGCTGGCTTGCCGTCTTTGGGTTGATAATAATAATAATAAAAAAATAGATATAATAAATTCATACATGCCGATGGCCTGAGGCTGACTTATTACTGTCCCTCGGCCTTAGACAGCTTGGGAAACATGCCCCACTGTTGCTATAAACAGTGTTGCTATTAACACTAAAACTCCCGATTACCTTTCCTAACCATATTTCACCACACATTTTTTCGGGAAAGATTTCGCTAGGTTTGTAACATCCGATAGCTTTTTTAATGCCCTATTACAGATTGCAGAAATTACAATAATTAACATAATCAATGGCCCTCATCCCAATATATACTCCTGAAGAACATTTATTTTGCTCATATATATGTATATCCATATATGTATATGTATTGGACATTCTGCTGGTCGGGTTTAACTTAACATCTTGAAACGCTTTAAGTACGGCCGAGATATAGATATATGAGTATGTTACATAGGCCTACACGTATACGTATTTACATATACAGGCCTCCATATATACGTATGTGAAGGCATATGCGTCCAGTTACCCGAAATTGCGTTCATTAAATGTTTTGTTAATTCAAACTTTCATTTATAACGTAAGCACTGATATGTTCACGATATTGCACTCTGGTTAATGACTGTGGTGCATTAACGTGAACATATCGAAGCTTATGTTATAGATGAAAGTTTAAACAAAACCTTTAATAAACACATTTTCGGGGATTTATTCTAAGAATACCTTTCAGCGTTAATTCACTCTCTCACATATGGATATACTCAAATAACCAAAGTGGACGGAACCCCCCAATGATGTATATGTTTATTCAAATATGAAGAGGGAAGATCCAGGAGGGGGGGGGGAGACAAAAGAGAGCAGTATCACCAGGATCCTCAACTGATCAATGGGCGATCTCATGTCGGGATATTGAGGGCCTACCATAACGTGCTTCACTCTCCACTTATGTGCGGGCATTTTTAAGGGGTTGTAGCACTAATTGCTTCGTTGGTGCTCATTGCTTCGTACCCATAGGCCTGTTGAATCTTGTGGATCATTTCCACTTGGGAATCCCCAAGCTTAACATGAAAGTTGATGAAGTATCATTAAAGTTTTTCCATCATTTTGTCAAAAACGAACATCTGACGGTTCACTTACTCATTTTCACTTATCGCCAGTTGCTGTCGACTGACAGTTTCTGCAGGTGGAAGGAAATTCACACAATCGCATTAAGAACATCTACATACATGTGTCAAACCAAGTCTCCCTATCTTCATTTATTTACACACAAAAATTAGAGTCATATACTTTCTCAACACACGTCGTATACTTAATTATAATTTTGCGGGACTTGGTAAGGGGTGCTTCTAGTTGCCCCCCCCCCTCCCTATTTGCAATCCGCGGGGCGAGCACTCAATAATATGGCAGCTTGTCTCTGGTCGTTCATAGCAACCTGGAATGATTCTCGAGTCCCGGCATTCGACATCGGTATGAGAAATGTGGTGTAGAACAAGGTCTATATAGGAGGACCACAAAAGACTTAATGCACGCCCAAACGAGCATTTTCATTATCAACAAATCTTGTAGCCGTGCGCAAAATTCTACTTGTTCCATACGAGCACTGGTCACATGACCATAAACCCAAGGTCATCAACTCAGTGAGCAAATATGGCTGGCAGTACTAGGCGACGCATATCCTTTCTCACAGAATCATTAGGTACTATTTCGCAAAAATCTGTCAAGAAACGAAAGAACAGGAGTGATTCTGATTATTATGATTTATCCATACTCATCAAATTTGATGCAGAGATAATCAGTTTGAAAATATTAGATGAAAACTGTGAATAAGGAATGGGACATATAATTAAGAATAAATACCATAATTTCCTTTGAAGTAATTTCTCTTGCTGTTCGTTTGCGAGCTCGCATCCGGATGTTGTTGACCGTGCAGTAAAAACCAGCCCATGGACATTCGAATTTATGTGCATCCAAGGAGTCCATGCGCGCCATCAGGCATTTGTTTGTGATAAAGCGCTCATGTGGCAACAAATTCTTTTAACGGTAAGGCCACGCCAATTTTATAGTCTGCATAGCGGGTCAAGTACGTTTTATTTTTGAAATGTCCGCCGAAAATGTCTTCACGATGTATCTTATTTTAAAATGAAGTTTAGAATAAATTGTTTTGATAAAACGGTTATTTTGGGTGCGAGAGGGGAAGTGATGTCTCAGACATTCAGCATCGGAGTCCCTCAGAGTCCAACAACATGGCGGATGCCAACATAAATTTTGTGCGGGAAATTTGGGCTTCTGCAAGCATCACGGAGAGGCCAAAAGTTCACTATAAAGGCATCAGGAAGTGGCCTGTCACGACAACCTTTCTGGAAATATTCAATTTGAACAAACGAAAAGTTCGAAGACTATTCAATAAAAACTTATTTGTCAAAGCCCGATCCCCTCGCCACCACGGCATGTGCAGACAACGCCAACGGTTATAGTGTAGAGCTTGGGTCTCCCGTATCTTTAGTGGAACTTTTTGGTGTGAAATACATACGGTTCAAACTTCATAAGAATGTGGAACATCATGAGGTTCAGCAAAAGAAATCAGCCTTTGACGTCATTATGAAATCAGGTAGCAGTTTGCTGCACTTGTCCACCAGAAAGACCGACAGGTAGGCTATGACTGAGACTGCATGTGTCGAGTGTGTGTCCGAAAATCGATTGTTGGACGGCATGCCTATACATATCATGTACATGTGATTGTTTTTTTCCCTACCTCCTACCTCCTATGCCATTTAAAATAATATATATTTTTATTTTCTGCTTCTACATTTCATTTTCTGTGAAACCTTAAATGAAAATAAAACTTGCCGTCGGGATCAAATTTTATTTTTATTTTTTTTCCTACCTCCTACATTTCATTTTGGGCTGTCTAGCCCGCTATGCAGACAATAAAATTGGCGTGGCCTAAGCACAGGATTTGAACGATAGCCATCCCTCTCTCTGTCAACCCTTTTCTAAACCATCGAAAAGCCTGGGAGCTGACGCTTAAGCTGAGTCGGTGTCGGCGTTAATGGAGCTGAGGAGGCCTGTTGACAAGCATCGGTTAGTGGTTGATAAACTGAAGTCACGTATTCGCAAGTGTGAGGCCTGTGCAAACCTAAACATTTTAAAGGCTGCTGTCTATTATACCAAAACCTAAAGAAGTAAGTTGCTCCTGAACTCATCCAGTGTGTGTAGCTCTATATCCACCCTCCATTCCCACCCACGCCGCGGTCGGGAGCACATCAGCTCCTCAAAGCCCACCAGGGTAAGTCCTCTCTGTCTTGCACGGTCGGATGATGTAAACTTTGTCTGTGCAGTATCTGGCAGTATTTCGATTCAGCATAATGTTTGTCGGTCATGTGTCCGTTTGGCAAAATGATTGTTGGTGGAATAGCCATTCGGCCTATAATCTGGTTGCGAAAAGACATTAGGTAAATTAAGCACAGGCGCACGCAAACACACACGCACGCACGCACACACACACACATATATAAACACAAATATATATTTACACTGTATATATATATATATATATATATATATATATATATATATATATAGACATATATATAGACATATATGTATATATATATATAGACATATATGTATATATATAGACATATATGTATATATATATATATATATATATATATATATATATATATATATATATATATATATATATATATATATATATATATATATACATACATACATATACAGAGAGAGAGAGAGAATTTGCCTGAGTATGTGTGTGGAAATATGTCCGTTATAAGAACAGCAAACGATCCGACTCTATCACACTGGCAGAGTACCATTGTCCCATGTAAACAGACATACGACCACACCAGTTCTTTTTCTTACGTAGCGGGCAAAACTGCCGAATATGTAATGTAGGAGGTGTGAAAAAAGGAAATAAAGCTGATTCTGGTGTTTCCTCTAACCATAGGGCTCCAGTTGGACTGATAAAAAGTGTTTTTCTTTCGGGAGAAAATAATTTAAAAACGCGGTAAACGTCATGAATTATTTTCTGCATGATTTTTAAAACCACGGGCAATTATCGGTAAGCCCGCTGTGCAAGAAGAAGAAAAAAATGGTGTGGCCTAACACCCATATAAACAAACAAGTTAAGTCCTAAGAATCAACCGAGCACCCTGATACACTATGGTAAATAAATATCATCATATTGTACTCTAAAATAATGCATTCACTAGCTACTTTTATATTATCTATTAGCAAAAACAATCTAAAAGTATAGAACTCCCGCAGTACAAGATCAAGACTGAAATTAGACGAAAACAGCGGAAACGCTGAATGACTATAAAATCCAAAATATTCTAGTTGACAGTTTACCCAGTTGTGATGCTTATTTTTTTCCTGTAATCTTTCAGTATTCGTACGAAAAGTAAAAGACGGAATAAACTGATTTATTTAGTTCTTACATCCTGATGATAAATTTATGATGAAAATTATTTTCTCTGGCTTTTTTTTCTCTCCTTGGTGATTCGGTTCATCTTAAATTGGTTCATGCGAACGCAGTGAGTGCGCGAGAGCAGAAACAAGGAGTTTGTAGCATAAATAGTATTCTATAAAAATGTTCGCTGCTGTAAGACGTGTCTGGTAATGAACCTTTAACTCGTATTAATGCAAATACACAACTGTAATGAATGTAATAAAGCATGTGTATTGCCAATCTGAGCTGATCCAAGCCCGTACCTCATC